AAAAAAAAAATCTAAATATTTAAGAATTATAAGCATGTGTTGCTCACTTTTCAGCCAAGGAAATAGATTAAATAAAGATCCTTATCTCAAATTTTTTCCACCCTGACAAATTTTGATGTCCAACCCATCAAATCCAATTGAGGAAGAAATGTTAATTTATTAAGTAGCATGCCTGGTAACCACAGAAAGCAGTCTGGATTCTGATTGCTGCCACCTCCTCTTTTGATTTTCCAGTGAATTGAGTTGCTGTAGTATGTGGAAAACCTCGGCAGCAGCCTGTGCAGCTACTGCAGCAGTAGCAACGGCAACAGAGTAAGCATGTTCTGTCTGCCCATTTTTCACTTCCACTTTCACATCTTCCAAGGGAGGATGAGGTACTTGAATAGTCTCTAGATTTGGAAAATCTGAACTAAAGGCTTTTCTTTCCCAAACCATTTCTTTCTTTATTTACTTCCTTTCTGAAAGTTGTTATGAAATAAACATTAATCACTAATTCAAGAGCAACAATAAGCACACAAATCACAAAATAAAATCACGAATTTTCAGTGGTTTACCATCAATAGGAGAGCTACAAGCACTCATTTTTACTAAAAATTGGGAAGTTTAAAAGGGAGATTTTGCGCCTCTTAGTCTGTGCATCTCTCTATTATTAAAAAATCACCTCCCTCCAATATCCTTATATAATATAAATATTAGGATTATCTAATACAATATATCGATATCCAATATACTTTATTATAAATGTTAGGTTGGATCCATAGTCAGGGGATAAGTTAAGAGTATAATTAGGTTCCACATAACCCAGCAAAAATACATATGAAAAAAATATCAAATGCACATCTAAGTCATCGGCTCATCAACACTCAGACAACATAAACAACCTGAAGAAATTATGATGTACTTTGAGCAAAACTGGGCTTCTTTTTCCTTGGAATTGGGACTGACTACACACTTAAGAAAGTAACACAACCATGAGACACACATACCTCTTTGCAAGATGGAGAAGCCTGCTTTGCTTTAGTTGTTCACGATCTCCTAACCTAACCAACACACATTGGATATAAAAAAACAGTGATGTGAACATCCAGAAAAGAGAATATTCAATAATAACACTACGTTTGAATTCTCACCCTTGGACATTGAAGTATCAAAAATCATTCAGAGAAAACATGGTTCACCAGTAAACATTACACCCTCAACGGGAACATAAGCAGCATCTGACATTTGCAACAACAATTCCTCCAGCATTGTGTATATTCTGCCTCTTTCGGGATGGAAATCATCTTCTGCTGAGAAAATATGACTATTGTCCTTCATTTCAATCCAGCTTTGACCAGGAACTTTCTTGACGCCATTTTGTCTCATCAAGCTCCTCACCGTGGCAACATCTTTCCAGCTACCAGTTGAAGCATATATGCTGCAAAGCATCACATGAGCAGCAGAATTAGAGGGGTCAATCTGCAGAATATTCTCTGCAGCCCGTTTTCCAACTTCAATATTATTTCGAGTTTTACAGGCAGCCAATAGAGTTTTCCATGTCACAATATCAGGTTCAAATGGAATTTCATTTATGAAAGCTTCAGCATCGTTGATGCGGCCAGCTCGAGCCAGCAAATCAACAACACATGAATAATGCTCTCTTGTGGGGACTACACCGTACTCCTCTTCCATGGTATTAAACAACTGCCACCCTTCTTCCACCAGTCCAACATGACTACAAGCAGTCAAAACTCCAACCAATGTCACTTGGTTTGGCTTAGCTCCCAAACTTCTCATTTTCATGAAGAGATTTAAAGCTTCTTCTCCATATCCAAACTGAGCATATCCCACAATTAAACAACTCCAAGAGAAAACATCAGGATTTTCCATGCAGTCAAAGAGTTTTTTAGCGCTTTCTATGGATCCACATTTCACATACATGTCGATAAATCCATTTATCACAGAAACATCAACAGTGAACCCAGTTTTAATGGCAGAGCAATAAACTTGATCCCCCATTACTAAAGAGGCGATTTTCCCACAAGCTCCAAGTACAATAGTTAAGGTAATATTATCCGGCCTATTATGAGATAGCAGCATCATTCTTAATAACGAGAAAACCTCTCCAGCCTTGTCGTGCTGCACACATGCAGTAAGAATGACATTCCAAGAGACTAGATCTGCCTTGCTTTGTATCTTGTTGAACATTTTATCCACATCATTATAATCTGAGCAATTCGCATACATTGAAAGTATGGAATTACAAACTGGAATATCCAAATCTAATCCCGTCTTCATAATATAGGAGTGCACTTGTTTCCCTTGACAGAGAGTAAATGGATCTCTGAAAGCACTAAGTAAAGAACGAATGGTGATATCATCTGGTCTCAACTCCTGATATCTCATCTGAGAAAAATTCAACATGGCTTCATTTGCATCACCACCATATGCAAAGGCTGATATGAGTGCATTCCAAGATACTACATCGGGATTTTCTATCTGGTTAAAGGCAGTTTTGGAATAACTAAACAAACCACATTTTCCATACATATCAGTGAGGGAGCAACCAGAAAAAACATCTCCTCCAAGACCAAATTTTATACTTAATCCATGTATCTGTCTTCCATATTCGAGCTGTCCAAGATAACCACAAGCTCTAAAAACACTGCCAAAGATAAATTCATTTGGCTGGTATGCCCAGTGACATCGCATTTCCCTAAAACAGGTCAATGCTTCTAACTCATAACCTAGTTGTGAAAACCCAGCAATCATTGAACTCCATGAAACCAAATCCTTTAACTTGATGCTAGAAAACACAATGTGTGCCTCATTAATTTGACCGAACTTTGTGTGCATTGCAATAAGAGCGTTTTGGGCTACGAGGTTGGAACCAAATTGCATTTTAATTACATGGGCATGCAACTGCTTTCCCAACTCAACCTCATTCATACTTGAACAAGCTCTAATTATACTTCCAAATGTGAACTGATCCGGCATAAGACCTGACTGTAGCATTTGAATATACAATTTTACAGCTTCTTCCAATTCCAGACCATTCTGTGAGTATCCAGCAATTACTGAAGTCCAAGACACCACATTTCTCTCTGGCATATCATCGAATACCTTCCTGGCATCCTCTATCAACCCACATTTTCCATACATATTGAGAATATGGTTCGCAAGGATCACGTCAGGCTGAAAGGTGTACTTCAAAATATGTTTATGAATTTTTCTACCATATTGCGGGGATCTCAAAGATAAGCAAGCTGAGATCAAATGAGCATAGGTGCTCGGATAAACATGGCAATTTGAATTCTTTTCTATAATATCAAATGAACGAAGGGCCTCTTTGAAAAGCTTTTGCTTGCATAAAGAACTTAAGTAATCATTAATTGATTGTTCGTTCTGGAGATGCATAACGTGAATTCTACGGCTAACATAGTTACAGGTAAAGTTAAGCGTAGGCCACAATCCTTTCGTCATTTTGTAAAGAAGCCAAAGGAAGACGGTAAAATTTCCTTTGTTTCACTTCATCTTAACTGTATATAATTTCCATAAGATTCTGAGAAACTTCCAACCAGGACCTACAATTCAACAATGAAAAACTTGATCAGAATATGCACATGAAGTTATGAATTGGATAAAAAAAAAGGAACTGTTGACATAAGAATAGTTGCAACAAAACGAGTAGGATAAAAACAATCCATGAGTAAACAATATCAAAGTGCTCAAAAATTTGCCCATGAGATGCACTTCTTATATGTACATAAATCCTATCCCTAAACCTCCTCCTCCTCCTCCTCCTCCTCCTTTTGAATGAATGATTTCTTTACTTATTTATGAGCCAAAAATAATCTCAATGGTTTTTAAGGGCATTGTGTCGAGCACAAAGCATAAGACCTCAGTTCATATTTCTCTAAAAATATAAAAGCAAAAAATTCTGAAAAAATGTTAAATACGTGTTTTTTTCAATACAAAAAATTGGTGAAATTTAATAGTATATAGAGTAAGAATCGCTGAAGCTTTGAATAAAATGGTATTAACAAAGAAACGTAAATAGCCACATACATTTTTAACCTTTTATTTCATTTTGCAAATCCGCTCCTAACCCTTTTTTACCATTGTGTCAACAACTCATTTACCAACAAATTCAGATATTAAAAGGACAATATGGTCATTATATTATACTTAATCAAACCATCAAAAAAACAAATAGCAAATAAATTGAAAAAAATTAATAAATAAAAGAGCCTAACGTAGATTTTGTGAGAATAGATTTTGACAAAAAATAATATTTTTAGAGAATCTGTGATTAAAAATTGGGAAAAAATTATGAAAGCACGTACAAAATTATTTTATCAAAAGATCGTACCATTGAGATTTAAAGAATTCCCGCCAAACATAGGCAAAGTTTAATCATCTTCTTCCAAACTCCAAAAAGATAATCTTTGGAACAAAAATAGCCCAATGAATCATATACTATAAAACCTTTACAGTTAAAAG